TCAGCTGTAACCCGTGACACTGAATTATAACATATACACATATCGTAAATGTCTCTGATTATAGAAAAGCAATCAATCTGCTCTTTTCACTTTATGTAGTTTGAAAGATTTAACAGGACCACATTTTTTATTATCTTCAGTAAGATTTGGAAAATATTGGATTCTCTTTAGTAATATTACCGAAACAGATGTATTCGTTTTTTTTTTAGATATTTTGACAGTATAGTAGAAAGTGGGTTTCATCTTCTATGGTTTCACAGGTTAGACAGGTAAATGCTGAACATTTTATCATAGAAACAAAGGTTGTCCGATATCTAATACTCCAGTGGGTACATCTTTCAGCTGTCCTATAAGGTATATCAATTCGTCAGTCCAATATGAATGAAAAGAGATATTAGTGAGGTATATATAAATTCGAACTTAATTTGTGCTATCCAAAATGAAAATAGTATCTAAACTTAGACAATATTTCTATCCATAACGAAACTGTGCGGACAATCTTATTTATAAAATTTTCTAGTCAAATGGTGCATTTTTGTGACAAAGTACATAAAAATCAAACTCTATCTGTAACAATCTAACTAAAATATAAATCTCTGATTTCGTTATCCTTATATGAGCTTATATATAAGAGTTGTTAAGATAGATTTGAATTTTAATCAGATTGTGTCTGTAACTTCATATAACTTCACTGTGCAACAAAAATTTGGTCTACAATTCGTATTTTTTTTAAAAACATTTATTGGTGATGGTAAGTCGGAAGCCAACACGAATTGAAATCCGATGCATCTTATAATCCGGTGACCGACACAAGACCCGAATTTTAATGTCACATTTTGATCCCATTGAAAAAAAGATTCTTTGAAATATCATTCAAAGGAGAGGCCATCCGTCTTTACCTATAATTATTATTGTCATAATTATAAGCATTAATTACATACTTGTGAAAAATATTAAAAACATATAAATAAAAAATAATTAAGCCAAAACCCGTGTCCTCAGCTGTAACCCGTGACACTGAATTATAACATATACACATATCGTAAATGTCTCTGATTATAGAAAAGCAATCAATCTGCTCTTTTCACTTTATGTAGTTTGAAAGATTTAACAGGACCACATTTTTTATTATCTTCAGTAAGATTTGGAAAATATTGGATTCTCTTTAGTAATATTACCGAAACAGATGTATTCGTTTTTCTTTTAGATATTTTGACAGTATAGTAGAAAGTGGGTTTCATCTTCTATGGTTTCACAGGTTAGACAGGTAAATGCTGAACATTTTATCATAGAAACAAAGGTTGTCCGATATCTAATACTCCAATGGGTACATCTTTCAGCTGTCCTATAAGGTATATCAATTCGTCAGTCCAATATGAATGAAAAGAGATATTAGTGAGGTATATATATATATACAATATATGTTCATAGGTTTGAACGTTGTTTTCAATTTAGACTTGTATATACAATATATGTAGATTGTCGGAAATATAAAATTTATTTGTACTCGCTACGAAACAATAGGAAAGCTCGGCGAGCCTCGCTTTTCGTCCTGTTTCTAAAGCTTGTAAACATACATTTTATATTTCCGACAATGTAGATATATTGGATTAAATAAGGAATATATAGCTCGAGGCAATTGTTTTTTTTTCAAATGCGAATCTGATGCAGTAAAATTGGTATCGTTCATGTTATAACATTAAAATAAGGAAGAAGATTCAAAAGGACCATTCGGAATTCATAATTTAAAGGAAACCCAACGACTGTATGGCAAAAACCGAAAAACGAGTCTAAAAATTATCTAAGGTACCGGTGCCCCCGGTGGATAATTAGATGTGGCGCCTGTCGTCTTGCTAGTGGTAAATACATATGCGGTGAAAGTCTCATTAAGCATGTTTACTGGTTTTGGTTTTTTTTTTAATTTTGAATATGTTGAAATATCTGTCAGAGCAATAAAATGTTACAATTTACATGTATTTATATGTGAAATTTCATTTATGAAACAAACAATTTGCCGTAAGACGAGTTCCTGGTTTAAAGTTCATAGAACCTCTTATAGAAACTGTCAATACTAGATGAAGATCAGCGATAACAGCGTTTTGCCTTCGATAGATTGATGACTTTATTATATCGCATTTTTTTTTTATCGCCGGAGGTTCCTGGCTTGATAATTGGAGAACATATTTTAGGTTCGATATGTTTTATATAAAATTGAAACTATAGAATGTTTTTTTTTTTTTGATTAATGTTGGGTAATTTCATAATCTACATGAAACTGTAATTTAATAACAAACATTCGAAGAGTTTTTTTTCCTCTGAAGATATATGACACGACGGATGTCAGTATTGGAGCCAGAACTGCTGATCCTTTTATGACATCCAGTTTTTTATTGGGTTCGTGTCGCTAATTCGACTGCTGCTTTTCTGCTCTTTTCTTTTATTTTTGTCATCGTGTTGTCTGTTGCGCTTTAATTTGTGTTTTTATTGTCAACTTCACTCTCTTTTTAATGCATGTATCATATATTTGAAAGTTCTATTAATGAGGACATCTATAACATCACTCGGGCAGATAACGCAATCGGTTATACAAGTTTTGACGTTTGCAACTTTATAGAACTAATTCCAAGATTGGCATAATTGCAAAGAGAAGTGAAGTTGACGTTTATTAATAAAGGCAATCAGATCGAAATTCGAACTTAATTTGTGCTATCCAAAATGAAAATAGTATCTAAACTTAGACAATATTTCTATCCATAACGAAACTGTGCGGACAATCTTATTTATAAAATTTTCTAGTCAAATGGTGCATTTTTGTGACAAAGTACATAAAAATCAAACTCTATCTGTAACAATCTAACTAAAATATAAATCTCTGATTTCGTTATCCTTATATGAGCTTATATATAAGAGTTGTTAAGATAGATTTGAATTTTAATCAGATTGTATCTGTAACTTCATATAACTTAACTGTGCAACAAAAATTTGGTCTACAATTCGTATTTTTTTTAAAAACATTTATTGGTGATGGTAAGTCGGAAGCCAACACGAATTGAAATCCGATGCATCTTATAATCCGGTGACCGACACAAGACCCGAATTTTAATGTCACATTTTGATCCCATTGAAAAAAAGAAAAACAGAAACAATTTTCTATTTAAAATCTGTCTGTCCAATATGCTTACTTTTTAAAAACTTTATCGACCAGAACTAAAATTTATTTCTGCAAATAGAAATAACACTTTATAAAGTTCGTGCGTCCGAAGCGCCTCACCAGGAATGCTTACACCAAATCATTTGAAAGCCATGCATTATTATAGATAACATAGGAACATTAGGAGCTACATGACAAAAAAAGGCACATGAAAAGAATCACCAAATTCAACCCAGGTCAACTTTGAATGCAATCGTCCTAACAACATGACAACTAAATAAAAATTTAGGTCAATATCTCTGACCTTGCATTTCACAAAAAAAAGGCGCTGAAAAAGGGGAAAGCACACCCATGTGTATGTAAAAAAAAAAACTAAAATGTTGCTGTCAAAATAAATACTATGCCCATTCAACTAACATATATACAGAAAGATGAGTGGACGTTTCATTAAATTTAAATAATTATTCAAGGTGTTTTCCAACCACATAAACCTAACAAAAATGTCATTAAACCTGAGCTTTAAGTCTTTTAAATCGACGTCACGGACACTTTTTGACACGAATTTAGAAAATTGTCTATAATTATTTAAAACTGTAAGTTAACCTCTAGACTTCAGCTAGGTTTTTGTGTCTGTAGATTATGTCCTATATATCTATGTATAAGCAACATCTCGTTTTATCTATATTCAAAGCTGAAATTTAACCCGAAAAGTTAAGCAGGAGTATACTGCTTTAATCCCACTACAGTTTGTGGCTGTACAAAGTCAGGTTATCTATAAATATAAGTAAGAAGATGTGGTATGAGTGCCAATGAGACAACTCTCCATCCAAGTCACAATGTATAAAAGTTAACAATCATAGGTCAAAGTACGGCCTTCAGCATGGAGCTTTGGCTCACACCGAACAGTAAGCTATATATAAAGGGCCCCAAAATGACTAGTGTAAAACAATCTATGCCATTTGTTGTTTTTTTTTCTTCTTTTTATATACGTCTATTTCTTTTCAGGGGAACTGGTGTTGTTAGTTGATGTGGTCTGTCATGCTGTCTTGTATTTTTGGTGATTTCTGTTTTCCTTTTTATGTATTATTTAACAAGAAAATACAAGTTTTATCGTCCATGTGTGTTGCTCTATATTCACGTCGTATTTCTATTAACTCACAAACTCAACATACGGCGTTTCTGAACTTTAACCAAATATAGATTGTTATTTGCTGGAGGTTCAGTAACAAACATTTCTTGTACATTTAAGACGATTAACTAAAAACAAACTGGAAGGACAAGATGTCAATTAACAGGAAACGCTGCATTTCTAAAAATGCACAACTGCTTGATATAACACTTGTAATCCATGATTGTAATGGCCAATTTTGAAGGAGGCGGAAGATATCAAAGGGACAGTTAAACTCATAAGTCGAAGACAAACTGACAAAACCAGAAAACAAACGAAACACGACAAATGTACATACAACAGTCCACAAAACACAACAGAAAGCTAAAACCTGAGCAACACGTAACGTAACCCCAACCAAAACTTGGGTGATCCCATATCCTCCGGAAGAGTAAGCAGATAATCCTATGATTTATTTTATAGGAAATGAAGTCGTCGGTTACGAAGGGTCTGGATAACTCTATTCTTGAACTTTTAGGCCGTTTTTCGTATTTTTTTATTCATTATTCTCTTTTCTTCATTCTTTTGCCCATTTTTTTTTTAATTTTAATTTTTATTTGCTCACCATTCTCATCTTGACCCTCCTTCCAGCCATTTGCATAACAGATCCTTCAACCCTTATTAATATCATGTATCTAATTGGTTGAACAATTATTGGCTTATAAATCAGGAAAAAATAAATGCTTGCTACATATATATTTATTACAAAATATAAGTACCTTTTAATTGCAATATAACATTCTCGTGTACAATTTTGTCTAAATAAATAACGGACCAAATTATGTACGCTTAAAGCTATCGATTAAATAAATGGGTTGACTGCAAAATTTAAACATTAAAAATTAGTCATCATAAAACTTAACAGAAAAAATGTTATGTAATAAGTCATGTCGATGATGTGTTCGAAATTTTGTTAGTCACTTTTATAAAGACATAAGTTATGATCATTCCAAAATTTAAACAAACATAATATTCTTTGAATCTTGAATCATTTAAGGCGTGATTTTTTGTTTTGTTTGTATTTAAATGTTTGGTGTTATGCCAATTTAATCCATAAAACCCCCAAATATGTAGATATATCAATTAAACACATTAGCACAGTAATAGGCAAGGCTTTTAAACCGTTAAAATAAAGGGGGAAAAGTGTACTAGCCATAGATTAAATCCAGAAAAATATATTTTTGTATACCGTAACCTTAAATACATTTCATGGTATTTCAAATATCATAAATAGAGAAACATTTTGCATATTTAACAAATGATGTTTCTCATTTCGAGTCTACTTTATAAATGTTTTGTTTCTCTGTAAATGTAGATATATCGTGTCTATATGAATAAAACATATACATGTACTAGTATAAAACTGAAATTAACGACTATGAGTGAAGCATTTACCAACATATTTTGTAAATGACAAAGCTTTCTTTGGTGTGTCAATCCTAGTATCAAAAACCGGCACTCCTAACTTTTGAAAATATTTTGCTGTCTTGACCAAACGATACAAACAACTGATGATGAAATGTAAACTATAAAAACTGATTAAAGATTAAAATGAGATAAATATTATCCATTATAACTTCATTTGAACACATTGACTATATGTACTAAATATTGCGTTATATCCATAATATTCATAGGTAATTCCATGTGTCAACTGTTCGGTATAGCGACGAACCTGTCCTACCGGAAGCTGGTACCGTCAGATCCAATTTAGCAGCGGAGAAGGACGACCTCGACCAAACAGACCTCGGTGTATCGTCCATTTTCAATTCTCGCAAACTAACATTGCCATTTTTGTCGATACTAGAATCACCATATGATTCGGAGTTATCATTTGGTCCACAAATTAAATCTAGTCTAGGAGTGCTGACGGCACGTCCTATACTTAAAGGATGAAGATTCCTACTTTTACGTTTATCTTCTAATGACCCTCTGATATTTGTATTCACACTATCCAGTTTTGGATGATGCATCATCACATTTAAATTTTTCGCCCCTAAGTCGATGTGAGGTGATTCTAGTGTCGGAACGTGTTTCTTGCAGTAAATTTGCACGTCCGACTTGTCATTCACATTGTGTTTGTAAGTATTCAGTGAAAGCATCGTATTACACGTGACACATCGAAAGCACTGTTTATGATACAGTACTTTTCTGATTGGTCCAATTTTATCCAATGAATAAACAGTCTTCCAGCATCTGTGACACGGATCGACAACACTGTGGTAAGATATTGCAGGTATATCAGAAGAAGAAGAAGCAGACGAACTTAAACTACTTGATAAAGGATTGCGGTCATATCTCGGTGAGAGTGGCGAAGAGACATTCATTACAGAATGTGATCGCATCATTGTTGACGATGAAGGTTCGTATCCTTCTATATTTCCAAGACTAGGTCTCGTTGCCATTCTTGTTTGTGCCGTTAGATTGTTTAATTTCTTCATAAGATCTGACGCAGGCTCTTCTTTTTTTTGCTTTGTCGAGTTTATTTTAGAATTGTGTTCATAGTGAAAACTCCTTGGAGTGCTAGCACCGTTGATATTTCCGTCAAAATTAGCAGGAAGTGTCTTGGAAAAATTACTATCCCGCAATGAGTCGAAATGTCTGTTTGTGCGATTATTGCGCATTTCTGTAGAACAAGTATTGTACGCCCTATTGCTTTGTAAACTGTTAGAATATCCTCGGACTGGATCACTTGATCTATTCGTCATGTAATTATTTTTTTCCATTCTGCGACTGTCGTCAGATCTATTTTTGCGTAAACTATTTGTATGAGAGCTATCTGAGGTATGTGACCCTGTAAAAGACTGATCAAGACTATTACCGGTACTTCCAAAAGATTCGTCGTGATGATATCCATCTTCCGTTACCTCTTCGGTGCGTTGCTGGAGTTCTTTCACTACACTCCTGAATTGAACCGGGGATTCTATTTTATAGTCGTCGCTTGCTTTTTCTATTTCGGTCATTGTTAAAGATTTCGACATTTTCTGATATGAATTAATGTCTTGGTCGTTATGATTTTCATTGCTACGATGACTTTCATTGAAATTTTGGCCCCTAAGTTTTAACTCTGCGACAATATTTTTCATACTCCCAGGCTTTTCATTCTTTAATTCATCACACGCATTTTCTATTTCAGTAGTGGTTAAGGACTTTGATAACGTTTTGGGAGCTCTGTGAGGAATATAATCATCCGTTTCCTCTGAAAAGGCCTCTCGGAATTGTTTTGTCGTTTTACTTTTCTTGATCAACTTTTCACCGTAAACTTTTGTTCCGTGGTCAACGTCTTCAGATTTGTCTAAAATTGGAATAGACATTCTTCGAGCCATTGCAGTTATGTTTTTCAAATCGAACTTTTCTGGCTTAGATGATTTTGTAGCAGACGTTTGAGACGTGTGCACATGAAAATCATCGGCAGTTTGGTCTTTCGGAACACTTAAACCAAATGACAAACCTGCTTTTTTACTTACATCCGAACAACTTTTCCGTCGAGCAAACTTTTGCCTTTTCTCGTCATGTGTCTGAAAACTTGTCTCTGATGGTCTAATATATTCCTCTGTATAGTTCTCCTCTTCCTCGTCCTTAGATGAAATAATTTGAGCATATTCTGCAAGATAGTCATCAATCGGGTCTTCATGTTCGAAGCTTCTGTCTTTTTCTTGATCAGAATTTCCATCCCGATCACTTCGGTAAGGTTCAGGGGATAACCGATAGATTTCATTGACATTATTTTGCGATTCGCTGTGTAAATCTGCATGAGTCAGCATCCGTGGCATAACATGATCACTTTCACTGTCACCATATTCAAGACGATGAAGATCATCGGAGATGTCATCCCAAGTCCCTATATTTCGACATTGCACAGACGGCGGGATGACAAAACAGCTGGCCATCCACACTAGGGAACATTTCGGACCAGTTTTAGTTGCATGATATCCATAAATCCCACTTACAGCCATTACATACAATCCATCACTCGCCATAAAGTTAACACTGAGAAGATCCAATATCGATCTGTATACCTGTTATTTTCAGGTACATATTAAAGATCGATTTGTTGACAATTGTGTATTTCTCGGGTATATAAGTAGGCAATACACTTTTATAGCGGTTGCATAATAAACTGCAGATAACAGGTGATTTTTCACTTAAAATTTATAGATCCCATAAACAATATTCCTTATTTCATATCCTGCTTGATATTTGAACATACACAACGAACACTATAAATTCAAATACACGTCCAGTCCATTTACTTTTTAATTTGATTTGGTTTAAAATAAATAAATAATATCTCAAACTTGTATGAACAAGTTATACATTTAATATTAAAAGCTGCAAATCGTGGTTATGTATAATTATAATCTTTCTTGCCATTTAATTTTTGTATATGCGTGAGTCTAAAATATTTTCCGTTTTAAAGATCCAAATAGTAGTTGTTCAGGTGAGATGAATAGTTTCTCTGTCATATATATAAAGTAAAGTTGAATGATTGATTTTTCTTTGTCATTTAATTCTTAAGATACTGAAATAATTGTGTATCCATGTATAGCGATACATTAAGTGAAATTCCATCTTCATGTTATTTGCACGTTGTTAAAAGTTCAAATGACGTTTATAGGCGGTGTCTGTAAATTTTAAAATATCCGTAATAGATAAAGAGTATAAGCTGCTATAATAATATTGTTCGTATAAGTTTTATCTCTTTAAACATCCAAAGAATTTTCCGATAAGTTTCGATATGGACATCGAAATTTTTGGTCAGAACACTCTTACTAATCCTCACAAAAAGTATATTTTGTACACGTGTACCATTTGCGGAAGAAGATATGTATAACACAACGCGTGGGTTGTATTGCACACTTTTGGCAGCTAAAGCTGGATTATTGCGGGAAATTCCTCATACCATAGCGGGTTAAGTTCTGCCATAGATCACATTGTCTTCGCCCAATATTTTCGATAACTATCCACGAAGCAGTTCAGATCAGTTGTGACTTAAAGTTCGATTAAAAAACAGATTAAACATTAAAAGGTCAGATTTTGTTATTATGTAAGGGATATATAGTTAAGAATAACATATTAGTTCATGAAATGTCCGGGTCATTTGAGTTTAAATACATTTTTGATTGGCATTGCGTGTTTCTGTGTAACCCTACCTATGACCTACCTGTTTTGTCAATTGAATTGATCATTAAAAGATGTTTAATCAGCAACGTTTGATATGACACCTCAAATCTTTCATCAATTGAATAATTTTATGAACGAAGGAAGAGAACAAATAGGAGATTAAACTTCTTACGGACATTATTATTCCAAATGGACCTTTAATCCATTTCGTGTGGTCAAATTTCTTACCCTTTTTAGTTTTTACTAACAGCTTTTGGTCTGATCATACCAAATAAATAAAACTTGTAGTAAGATATACATGGTTAAAACTGGCCCAGAGATGCCCATTATCTTCTGCTTCTAGTAAAACAGTATGGGGTCAGTGGAGGTCAGTGTACTTACCTTTTATAGTCGATTAACAATTATAGTTGCCTTAGTTTGTATTCGACAAAGCTTTTTTCTCTGACCAATGGGTGACCATCTCAGATATCAGGTTGGTGTGTTTTAATGATACACCACCCCAAAGAAGGGGGGTATAGAGGTTTAAGTCTGTCCGTTCGTCCCATGAAATGTTTTTTTGGAAAATTGTTTTAGGACCTGCAAATAAAAGCTTCCTGAATTTGGTAGCAAGCTTGATACGAGATGCGTTTTAATACTTATCAACTTCCTGCTTATCGATTACTATCATGAAATTTTCATCGCATAATTTCTTAGGAACTATTAGCATAGCTTCCTGAAATTGTATGTAACGCATCGTGTTAGCAACCTTTACCGTGTGATGCATTTTCAGATTCATTGCTCAACAAATTCCTGTTTACTGAATACTTATTCCTTACAAAAACTTGGCCATGCTGGAAATCATGTTTCTTAGCATTTTTCTCAGAAACTGCAAATCAAAGCTTTCTGGAATTTGGAATCAATTCTCAGGTGAGTATACTATACCGTATGATGAGTTTTCAAATTCGTTGCCCATCAACTTCCTGTTAACCCAATACTTATAGCGGGTGTATGATTTGTGAGAAATAGCTCACAGTTCAACTTGTGTTTTTCCCATAAGATCTTTTAATAAAGATCATGGGACGGACGGACAGACTTAAACCTGTATACCCCCCTCCCTTCTTTGGAGTGGGGTATCATTAAAAAAATCATACCAATAACATCCTAACTTCATTATGCAACAGGACATTTCTGTTTATATATAGAGACTACGAAGTGCAGCCATCTCCAAAGATTGAAGTAGTCTGTCATTACTTTTGATAAAATTAACAAAAGTTGGTCAAATGAATTATTCTACAAACCATTTTTCTTTTTTACTCTCGTAGTAACGGACACCATTATGGTATATAAAAAGACACGTGTACACCATTCTTAAAGGTTAAAGCTGTATAAATAGGAGGTAAAGCAATGCTGAATTTAACCATAGATTCTGACATGTGTAACATATAAATTTCTTATTCTTATTCTTCCAACTACAACGCAGGCTTCAAAATTTAATACTATTGTATTCACTTGCGCTCATGTCAGAAAAGGAAGCATACTATATACAGAAGTTGTGGTGTGTACATGTTCAAAAACTGTACAATGCAAGTTACAAACTAATAATATCTGGCACAAGCGTAATGTTGTCTTGATTCCTGTAATGTCTCTTAGAACTGTTCCAGAGATTGAATTCTACAATCGTTCCTGATTATGTGTTCCAGAGTCGAATTGCCGTATGAAAGAATGCGTGTAAATACACATGTATTCTAATATGTGGTTGTAGAAAGCGTGTGTCATGACCCCGAGTCGATCTAGTGGATGTTTGAAGATAAATTGTAGCTGGAATAGCAACAAGTTGATGTTGCTTTTTGTACATCATGACAAGTTAACATCTTGCCCGTCGTCCATACGACGAGTCCCATTTCAACTTACCGAGCATTATACTGCTTTAAAATTTGAAGTCATTGCAGACATATCTGGCTTTGAACTGTTCCAACTTTTTGATATTTGCAGTTTTATACGGGCTCCAGTCTGTTGATGCATACTCAACAAGGCGACGTACAAGTGCAGCGTAACATTTCGCTTTGATATTGAGAAGACAACCATGCAGGTTTCGATTAAGGAAGGCACATGTGGAATTCGCCTCATTTGATGTCTACATGCTTGGTCCAGGCCAGGGGCATTGTGAATCGGACGTGGGTACATAAAGATCTGTTAGAGTGCATACAATATAAGTCTATTTTCCCTACCTAACAATAGTATAAAACATTGGACTTTTCTTCCCTTTTACAAGCATTCCTAATTCCAAACTTAAAGACAAATTAAACGAATTGGTCTTACTTAGCTTCATAAAAAAATGGCCAACGTAGATGCAAAATATCTTGTTTTAGGGAAGGACAAATTATATTTTGTAAAAAAAACCCACTCTTATTAAAAGAAAATCTCTGAGACATTATCAAGATGTTTAATTTCTTGAATGATAACATATTTGTTACGATTAGATGACGCGTTTTTCTATGGGAACCAACTGTGATCCTATTCTTGCCGACTTGTTCCGTGGTTTATACGAGGTCGACTTCATACAGGAGGGTTTTTTTTAAGGAAGAATGAAAAGAAGCTAGCCATTACCCTTTAACGTCCACGTTCTGCTATTTTAATAGATGATGTCCTTTCGCTTAATAATTCAAAGTGATGTGACTATGTAAAACGCATCTATCTATGTCATTGAACTTGAAACAAAGGATACAACAGATAAGTTGAATCTGCCTCATATTTTGACTTACATCTAGAAACTGACAAAGAGGATCGAATGAGAAAAATACTTTACGACAAAAGAGATGATTTCAGCTTCCCAATTTTTAATTACTTCCATTTCTAAGTAGCAAACATTCCAGCAACGCCTGCATATGGAGTATATACCTCCCAGTTGATACGATATTTCAGAGCTTGTGTTTCCCATCATGCTTTTCTTTATAAAGGGTTGCTGCTTACAAGGAAGCTATTAAATCATGGGTTCGAATAGTGTCGACGTTGAAGTCTTCCCTTTGAAAATTTCACAAACGCCATAACGAGATGGTTAACTTTTAAGGAATATCTCATTCTGTTTCACAGATGCTGACGGATAATTTCTAATCGTCTTATTGTCGTAATCACAATCCCGTCCTCTTTTCCTGTGACATCATCAAATTAGACTTATCCCCGAGTGTGTACTTACAGGTGCCACATGTTGAGTAGGTTAACGTATTTGACATCACAAAGCCGTGATATGCAATTTTATGAAGAGCTAGCTGAGCAGAGTGATCTAGACCGTGGGAACACCGATAAGAGTCAATTACCAATCCGCTATTGCTTGCTGCCTAATCACTTGACATAACTCATCAGAATATTCTTAGGAGTAACACGACGATTGTCACAGGTGGAGCAGGATCCGCTTACTTTTCCAGAGCACTTGAGACCACCATAGGTTTGAAAATTTCTTTTGAATATAAAGTGATTAGCTACTGAAATTATTTTGCTGGAAGTAACACAGCTTTTGCATTCCATACTTTTGGTGAAAATGTGTACTTGGGACTGCATAGCCCTAAATGTCTAGGTATAAATAAAAATATTGGGATACTGGCTTCAAAATGTAATATTGACAAGGTCAATCTTTTGTGCCACCTAAATAAATAAAATAATATTGTAAGTAAACTTCAAGGTAATTATACACTATTATTTATTCTATCTGTATGTAGATATAAGTGAATATATTAGTTTAACTATAAGCTTTATCCTATAGATGTTCAGACAAGAATCTGAATTGTCGTCTTAATTCCTTCATATTTATAAATCAATTCATGAACTCTTATTAATAAATTGTACAAAACAATTTGGTAAAGCGAAATACGAATTTTTTAAATCTAATATAGTAAATTGTTAACAATTAATTTATCAGCTGCAAAAATATAAATAGCGTATTTTCAATGACATTCAAGTGCAGCATTTGTAATGAATTTTATCTACATATATTTATATCTTTGAATAGCAAGTTGACGTGCAAATAAGTTTTTTGCCAATATCAATTAATTTTAGTGAATTTCTATAGGTAAAATTCAATGTATTCTCTATACAGAGACATATAATACGTATGTCTCTGTCCTATATCAATAAACTTTGGTGAATATATATATATACTAATGAAATTCTATTTTGTTATGTCTGTCATTCAAACCAGTGACTGTTTACTTATTTATTATGTAACATTTAAATGTTTTAAAGTCTTCTATATGGAAAGTACTAAAGATTAAACATTCATGCTTTAGATAGAGAATTTAATACTTCAGTTCAAATTTGAGTATTTATATGCTTGAAAATGTGTATATTTGTTGACCGTCAAAATAATTAAATGCATTTGTGAAAAGCTTTGAAAACACCAACAACAAAATTGATGAATTATTCATCTATCTATCTAGATTTAAAGTGTTTTGATAAAGAGATATCAGTCAGTATTCATTCAAAAAAGATTTAAAATAAAATTCATATATACATGTTATTAAAATTCTATTTTATATTGATGTATTAGCATTTAGTTACCTTCTTTTCAAGGTATTGAAGTAGTTCAAAGCGGTATACAAGATTAAACTTATTGAAAGCAAATATGCTTTATTTTTCTTTCTGTGGACAAGCATAATGTTATGTGATATTATGCTTTAAGATATTATTTGAGTAAACATCCAAGAACCTAATTTGCGGATTTAAGATTGGATAGACACTAAATAAGGGACCGTTAAAATTTTCGGTTTTGAGGCATTAAGTAAACACACCTATAATCAAATCAAAGACCTAGAAAAAAAACGTCTTTAAGTAACTTTCACATCACACTCATGATAACAATACTTTATTTTAGGATATCCACTTTTGGTTTTGAGCAGAGG